ATATATAGTACTTGAAATTTTAGCCAGAACAATCAGGCAAGAAAAAGAAATCAAAGGAACACAAACAGAAGAGGAAAAAGTCAAATTATTCCTGTTTGCAGATGATAGAATTCTTATACTTAGAAAACCCTAAAGATTCCACCAAAAGACTCTTTTAGAGTTGATGAACAAATTACACAAAGCAGCAGGATACAAAAGTAACATACAAAAAACAGTAGATTTTTCTATTCACCAAAACTGAATTTGCTGACAATCAGAAAAGCAATCCCATTCATGATATCTTTAAAAAACACTTAGAAATCAAGGAAATCAAGAAAGTGAAAGACATTTACAATGAAAAACATAAAACAAATAAGAAAGAAACTCAAGAAAACACTAGAAGATGGAATGATCTCCCAAGTTCATGGACTGGGGAAATTAATAGTTAAAATGCCCATACTATCAAAAGTAGTCTATAGATTCAATGCAATCTCTATTAAAATACCAATGATATTTTTCACAGAACTAGAAAAAATAATCCTAATATTCAAATGGAAGTACTAAAGACCCTGAACACTCAAAGCAATCCTGAGCAAAAAGAACAATGCTGAAGTCATATAATTCCTGGATTCAAAACATACTACAGAGCTATAGTAACAAAAGTCACATGGCACTGTCATTAAAACACACATAGACCAATGTAATAGAATAGAGGACCCAGAAAAAAAAAACATGCATTTATAGCCAACTAATTCTCAACAAAGGTGCAAAAAAACTTATATTAGAGAAAATGCAGCTTTATCAACAAAGGTGTTGAAAGAACTGTAGAAAACTGAAACTAGACCCTTATTTCTCACCCTGTACAAAAATCAACTCAAAGTAGATCAAAGACTTTAATGTAAGATCTGAAACTTTAAAACTAATACTATAAGAAAACATAGGGAAACACTCCAAAATATTAGCACAGACAACTATTTCCTGAGTAGGAGTCCAATAGCTCAGGAAACAAAATCAAGAATTGACAAATGGAATTAGATCAAATTTAAAAGCTTCTGCATACTTTGCAACAAAGGAAATGATCAAAAGCATAAAAAGACAATCTACAGGGGCTGGGGATTTGGCTCAAGGGATAACATGCTCTCCTGGCATGCACTGGGCGCTGAGTTCGATCCTCAGCACCACATAAAAAATAAAATAAAGATGTTGTGTCCACCAAAAACTGAAAAATATTAAAGAATTCTCTCTTCTCTCTCTCTCTTTTTTAAAAAAAGGACCACCTACAGAGTGGGAGAAAATCTTTGCCAGTCATTCATCTGATGGAGGATTCATATGCAGAACATATAAGGAACTCAAAAAACTTAATAGTCCAACTTAATAAGTAGTCCAATCAAAAAAATGAACAAATGAGGGGGCTGGAGTTGTGGCTCAGTGGTAGAGCACTTGCCTAGCATGTGTGAGGCACTGGGTTCAATTCTCAGCACCAAATAAAAATAAAAATAAAAATAAACACAAATAAAATAAAGGTCTTAAATAAATAAATAGGCAAATGATCTGAACAGATACTTCTCAAAAGAAGAATTATAGATGGCCAAAAATTTATTAAAAACTACTTACAATCATTAGCCATCAGAGAACTGCAAGTTAAAAACTACACTGAGATTCCATTTCAACTCAGTCAAAAAAAAAAAAACCTGTTATAAAAAAATAATGTGAGAATGCAGGAAGGAATAAAGGAAATGTATACACTGTAAATTTGTATTATGGAAAATAGCATGGAGGTTCTTCAAAATTAGAACTAATATATGATCCAGCTGTACCGTGCCTGGATATTTATTTGAAGGAAATGAAGTGAGTATACTAAAAAGACACCTGCATACCTATGTTTATTGCTGCACTATTCATAATAACCAAGTTACTGAATCAGCCTAGGTGCCTATCAAGAGAGAGACACATAAAAAAAATATGGTATATATACACAATGGAGTATTATTAAGCCATTAAGAATAATGAAATCTTATCATTTGCAGGAAAATGAATGGAACTCAAGAACATCATGTTAAGCAAAGGAAGCCAGATGCAAAAAGATGAGTATCCCATGTTTTCTCTTATATATGAAAACAAACAAAAAAAGATGACCTGAAAATAAAAGAGGGATGTCTAGATGGGAAGGGAAAGGAAGTGAAGGGAAAGGGGAAAAGAGAGGAGAGGAGGGAAAGATAGGTGAGGCCAAGAGAGGGTGGAAGGGAAGATAGACATGATCAAAGCACAATATATACAAAGATGGAAATAGCGCAGTGAATCCCATTAATTTGTTCAATTAATATGCATTAATAGTTGTACTTTATTTTTTTCTGTTCTTTTCTTTTTTAATTGTTTTTTTAATTCATGACAACAGAATGCATCACAATTCTTATTACACATATAGAACAATTTTTCATACCTCTGTTTGTATATAAAGTATGTTCACACCAATTCTTGTCTTCATACCTGTACTTTGGATAATGATGGCCATCACATTCCACCATCCTTGCTAATCCCCTGCCCCCTCCCTTTCCCTCCAACCCCTCTTCCCTATCTAGAATTCATCTCTTCCTCCCATGCTCCCCCTCCCTACCCCACTATGAGTCAGCCTCCTTATATCAGAGAAAACATTCAGCATTTGTTTTGGGGGGATTGGCTAACTTCACTTAGCATTATCTTCTCCATTGCCATCCATTTACCTGCAAATGCTATGATTTTTTTTTTTTTTTGCAAATGCTATGATTTTATTCTCTTTTATTGCTGGGTAAAATAGTTGGACTTAAAAAAAAAAAAAAAAAAAAAAAAAAACTTTGCTACACACAGCCACTAAGTAATCTAGGCAGATGGAGCCTCACTCCCTTTATTGTTCACTCCATCTGGGATATGTCACATTTTAAGTCATACAGTATTGCATCTTAATTCTTTGAACTAATTGGTCACAAGTAATCACTTAGCCCACCAAAATATATGTGCCTAAACGAAAAGGAGAGCCAGATATAGGCGAGTAGTGCAAATCTCTACCAGAGAATTTATCAAGTCAGTGGTCATTTTTAAAAACTACTTTGAGGGGGCTGGGGTTGTGGCTCAGTGGTAGGGCGTTCACTTAGCACGTGCAAGACCTTGGGTTCAATCCTCAGCACCACATAAAAATAAATAAGTGAAATAAAGGTATTAAAAAGAAATTTCTTTCTAAAAAAAAATCTACTTTGAGTGTATAGAAGCAGATACTATGTAAACTTCACCTGTATCTTTCATGCTAAAACTTTTCCAGATATATGATTGTTCTTTCCCTTTGGTTTTGCACAATCCTGAACTGAGAGCATTGGACTATTATGCTTCAATTGTAGTTAATAGATTTTAACATACTAAAATAAGACTGATGCCATATAAAACATTTACTGACATCTTAAATGGTTTTCCCAGATTAAATTCTAACCAGTTGTCCCTATACCACTTACCGAGTATTCTTTCTCATTGCTGATTTGAATTATCATCTTTGTATAATAAAGTTGCATGTTTTAGGCAACTGGTAAAGCATTACCTTGTTTTCTGAATTTTCTTTACTATTCATATGCATTTAGCCTTCAAGTGAAATTTAGAGTCATTTTACTATCTAATTTAAGATATCTGAAAAGATATATAAAGTGGTATCACCTCATCAATTTTATGCATGATTAATATAAAGCCTAAGAATGAGTCAGATGCTTCTCAATTTTGCCAACCAAATGTAGAATGATTGGCAAAACCAGTAGGTCTTATTTTTCAATTACCTCATCTATAAAATGGGGAGAGTTAAGGCATCTATTTTAGGAGGCTGTCATGAACATGAGACATGTACGTGTAAAGATTTTAGTATAATGCCTCATATATACTAGGTTTTACATTCATATTCTTAAAATATAAATAATGGTGAATTAAATCATAATACTGTAATATAAAAAATGGTTTAAATGGCAAATTTTATGTTATGTGTTTTATATCACAATTAAAAATGAAAACAAAAATGCAACTAGAGATGCAGTTCAGTGGTAGAGTACCTAGCATGCATGAGGTTCAATCCTTAGTACCACAAAAAGCCCCCTAGTTTCCAAGCCAGCTTGCATTCTTTTTCTACTATGCCAGAGGAAAATGTAAAATTAATACACAATCATGGAGATCTACAATCATAATGCCAGAACTGATTACTACAATTGCTGTTTCTCCGTTTTTATTTTTACATATGTGTGGTTCACCCCCTGATCTGTTTACTAAGAACACATCTTAGAAAGCATAGCCTTGCTCTCACGTCCAAGAGAGGCAAACAAAGATAGAATTTGTTAAGTACTAAAGCCATTAATACAAGCTTTAAGACTAGCAGAAATAATGACAGCTACTTCCTTTAAGTACTTAATAAACATCTCTGGTGCTGCTCTAATTACTTTATATACATCTGAATAAATCCTTACAATCACTCTGCAGAGTAGATCATTTTATTCTCAATTTATAGATGAGGAGGTTAAGACTTAAAAATTAATATACCTAAGGTCACACAGCTAGTAAGACTCAGTAGACTAGCTGCGTGAGTCTCCATTTGGTTCAACTGAATATATCATATGGTGGGCATTTAAGGAATTATGTTTTGGTATGTTTCCATCATTTCTAAGTACCTAATACCATTCTTTTTTTAAAAATTTGTTCTAATTAGTTACACATGCCCAATACCATTCTTGATGACATTTTTCTAGTGTTTCCAAAATGATTTATGCTGTTGTTCCAACTACTGGGGTTGAAACAGTTCAAGCCATTATCTCAGAGGCCTTCCTTTACAACTATATGTCATTCCATCAATGTCACATTGGGGCCACATTGAACAAAACAAAATTTAGATCAATATCATTGTGCCAATTAAAACAGAATGCTGTTAGAAGATTAAGCACAATAAGGGTTCATATTACTTAGTTCCACCAAAACAAAACTATTATACTCAATAAACACAGTGGATATTTAAAATACAATCTTACCTGAGACTTTTCATCTAAGTTTTCCAATTTTTTAATTTTTTGTTTTACTTGAGCTATATTCCCTGTTACATCATCCAGCTCAGCTTGCTGATTTAATAGAAGTTCAACTTCAGTGACAAGCTAAACATAGGAAATAAAAAAGATTTTTTAAAAACATACAAATAATTAATCATTCTGAATTTATTTAGATTTATTTATTGGTGGGGGTAACTAGGGATTGAACCCAGGGTGCTCTACCACTGAATTACATTCCACAAACCTTTTCTTATCTTCTGAGACAGTCTAACAAGTTTGCTCAGGCTGGCCTCAAACTTATGATCCTCTTGCCTCGGCCTCTTGAGTCACTGTGATTATGGGCCTGCACTACTGCACCCTCCTGGCATTCTGTCTTTATGATCAAGTTTTTTTAATTTATTTTTATTTATATATGACAGTGGAATGCTTTGCAGTTCTTATTACATATATAGAACACAATTTTTCATATCTCTGGTTGTATACACAATATATTCACATCAATTCGTGTCTTCATACACGTACTTTGAATAATAATGGTCATCACATTCCACCATTTAACCCCATGCCTCCTCCCTTCCCCTCCCACCTCTCTGCCATATCTAGAGTTTGTCTATTCCTCCCATGCTCCCCCTCCCTACCCCACAATGTATGATCAAATTTTATAGGGAATGTCATCAAATAAGAATGTCAATATGAAAAATTAAACATATGAAAATATGCTCAGCTATTTTACCTACACAAATAGATGTAATCTGTTAAAATTTAACTTTCCAAGTATACTCAAGTATACTCATGATTCATACAAGATCACTATGTATGTGTACAGTCATATGTAGACATGTATTTGCATGTATGTATATAAACATATACATATGTATATATATGCACACAAATTTCCCAGCTTTATGGTGAATAATCCTGCAAACAAAGCCCCTCCTATGGTGATAAGCACACCTGGCAAGTATTTTTTTTTAAATATTTTTTGAGTTGTAGTTGGACACAATACCTTTATTTTATTTATTTATTTTTAATGTGGTACTGAGGATTGAACCCAGAACCTCACACATGCTAGGTGCTGGTCTACCAAATGGTCTACCACTGAGCCGCAACCCCAGCACCCCAGCCCCCAGCAACTACATTTTAATCTTTAATGATGTTTCTCAGTAAAGAAAGTAGGGTCCCTAAGAAAATGTTCATTTCCAAGGGTTAATAGGTGCAGAATAGGTGCAAGATAAGTTTGAAATATCTCTTCATGCCAGAAAGTAACAAATGATTTTATTTAAAAAACACTGGGGAACATCACAAGGACAGAGTAACCAGTTTCAATAATAAAGTAGTGAAGAACAGTAAAAGAAGCAAGGCACATTGGTACACACCTATAAACCCAGCCACTTGGCAGTCTGAGGCAGGAGGACTGTAAGTTAGAAGCCAACCTCAGCAATTTAGACTTGGTCCCAAATTTAAAAAAAAAAAATGAAAAGGAAAAAGAAAAGGACCGGGGATGTAGTTCAGCAGTAGACCATTTGCACAGCATATGTGAGGCCCTGAGTTCAATTCACAAAAAAGAAAAAACAGAGGAAAGAATAGTAATAAATTATAAATCATGATAAATGTATGAATCAAATTAATTAAATGAGAAAAAGGAAAGACTCTTGCTTTAGCACAGTTCCTACTGTGGATGGATAAGTGTTGGAAAATCATCATTTAACAATTACCATAGTAAAGAGTTGTTCAGGAAAGAAACAGATTGATGCTAAATCTATGGGAAATTTTGATTAGGAGCAAGATAATTGTATTGCTTTAAATTTCCTCTCAACATATATTCTACTAGTTATGGGACAAGGGGTAACGATAGGAGAAATTCAGTAACATTTTTCTGGTTAATCAAAATCCATATCAACAATGAGAGGCAGGTGTGATACCCTGAGAAGAGCACATCACTTATGTAGTCATCTAGTTGGTCATATAGACTAAAGCTATTCATGAGATGTCAAACTCAAAATGAAGAAATCTTATTTTAAAATAGACTACATTCTTCAAAATATTAATGTCATAAAATACAAAGAAAGATTGTGGAAATGTTCTAGATTCAAGGAGACTAAAGGGACATGACAATTCAATGCTGAAATCTAGAGTAGACCCTGTATGGAAAGAACAAGAAATGCTATAAAGGCCATTACTGGGTCAATGGACAGAATTGAAATATTGATGGTAGAAAGTATAAAAGTATTGCATTGTTGTTAAATGTGCTGAATTTCATAACAGTACTGTGGATATATGAGAATAATTATTAGAAAACAAATGAAATATTTAGGGAGGAAGTCCATAATGTATAAAACTTATTCTCAATGCTCACAAAAAATTATCTGTATATACATATGAGCAAGGGAATAGAAATAATAGAGCAAATTTGGCAAAATATTATAAATAAGTTAATCTGGGGAGAAGATAAATGGGTGTTTCTACTTTCCTTACATTTGCAAGTTTTCTATAAATTGAAATTTCCAAATGATTTTTTTCTTTCTTTTTTTCTTGCTTTGTTCTTTGTTTGTTTGTTTTGTTTTTGGTACTGGGGATTGAATCCAGGAGCATTTAACCATTGAGCTACAATCCCAGCCCCAAGTAAGTTTTTCTTAAAAAAAAAAAAAAAGAGGAACCTTCTAAACAAACAAACAAAAAAAAACCTTTCTTCAAGTAACTATGAGATACAGACTGTCAATAAGGGCACACTGTAAAACAAGAATACTGATTAGAGACAGCAATGACTTGAAGAAACAGAATATAACCACAGAACAAGAATGTCGATTGGATGAAAATTCACATATGAGTAGATAACATAGTTGGTACACTCAGGAAAGTCCTATTTTGTGAGTATTGGGTTGGGAATAACTGAGCCCTAAGTCCAGAATGCTGTGCTCCTCCAAAACACCTAATTCTTAGAGAACAAATGAATACCAGGCAAGTAAGCCATTCATGAGCAGAACACAAGCTAGACACACACAGGAGAGAAAAGAAATGGAATTTTCCTTGATGAGCATGACCAAGTACTATGTCTGTGAGGAGCTTCGACAGGGCTGCTACACAGATGGAAGAAACTAAAGTATGGGTATTGGCCACTTATGATGGATTATCCAGGTGGGTGAAACTGAAATATACTTTCGATCTTTTAAATAATATGTAACTAGGGGCTGGGGATGTGACTCAAGTGGTAGCGTGCTCGCCTGGCATACACAGGGTGCTGGGTTCGATCCTCAGCACCACATAAAAATAAAATAAAAAAGATGTTGAATCCACCGAAAACTAAAAAACTAAATATTAAAAATTCTCTCTCTCTCTAAAAAAAAATATGTAACTAAACATGATTTAATTGCATCTGTCAGGCTTTTCATAGAAATCAAGTCCTGGATCAAAAAAAAAAAAAAAAAAAAAAAAACCTTGGTTAAATCATAAGCTCAGCTCAGATATATGGTATTTAAACACCAAGTAGGAAGTGGGTATTATTTCCTTGGAATGCTATCACACAGCCTATAAATACTTAATATCTAAAATGAATAACAAACCTCAAGGAAGACAAACTTTGTCCCTTTCATACATGTTGGCACCTAAATACCATCTCATAGGAAATGGGTAAGTTGAAGAAGAGAAGTCTGAGAATTTTAGTAGAGGTTTTGTGCATTCTAAGTCAACGCTCACTTATACATGCTTCACAGTCTTTCTATAGGTATATATGGGCATATTATAAGACTGGATTCTGATGCTCAAGAAGTAAGAACCTCTGGCATAATGAAAAGAAATGTATAAGAAATCCTTTAACTGACCTCTTGAAAATCTTGCTCAAACTTCCACAGTTGCAGATACTGCTCCATTTTTAATTGGTGTTTTTCCCAAAATCCATCAAAAGCTGTTTCCATGTCATGCACTTGAGCCAGCAATCTTAACAAAGAAAAAATCAAAGAATTTATTAAAAAAAAAAAACACCTGTATCACAGCTACGTCAATAAAACTGGTCTGGACATTAAGAATTATAGACAAGGTCACAGTCTGTGGCACTTGGTTATGACAGAGACAATGTTCACAAAACTTAGTTCTGCAGGCAAGCTAATTTCTGTGAGATGACCCTGGCAAGAAGTTCTCAGATTTTCAGAGCTCCAGAACTACTTTCACACATAATGGAATGTAACAAAAATATATAATTCCTTCTTGAAAATATAAATAAGTTAACTCTAAAGTAAAAAAAAAAAGTATACTTACTTATTAATAGTTTGCCAGTCACCATTTATTTGCTGATGACGTTCAATACTCGAACTGACAGCTTCTCCAGTGTCAGGCACTTCCAGATTTGTTAGAAGAATTTTTCCTTCTTTGGTTACAGCTGTAATATCATTCTGTACAGAGGCACAATGGGATATATCAGCTGATTAGTGATCCAACCTGAACAACCTGAAGGGAAGGCAATATACATTCATGGCATGTAGAATAGAAATAGTGCTCTAGAATGGGCTTTCCTTGCACAGCTATCTGAAAAATCAAGGATATTTCAATACTACAAAATCCACAAGCTTTGAAGATCCAAGAAGCCTTTGCCTTAGAGATGGATGTTTCAATCACTATTCTATAAAATTATTACCGGGAGAAGTAGCATGTGTTCTCTTTGCTGCCTCCTTCTCTTGCTGGTAGCAAGTTCTAATCTATTCCATTCTGTTCTGGTAATATTTTAAAGTGTTCAAATAAGGCAGTATTAGCACAATAAAAACTATCAAAATAGAAAACATAGAGTTACAGATGTCGAGTGTATATTGAAAAAGAATCATGTATCTTTCTTACTAATCCTTAATTGTTAGCAATCACTTCCCACCATAAGTCTTATTTTACTTCACATTTGGGGTTAAATAACACCATGAAGTATATGTTTCTATTTAGAAGGTCTTATGATTGGAGACTTGTCTAAAAACATAGACTTTTTTCAGACATCAAAAAGTAACATAAGACTTTCTTCAGTAGTTTCAAGGGTCCCCTAAAATTGTAAGTAAAAATTTGGGCCTAAGGGGCTGAAGGTATGACTCAGTGGTAGAGCACTTACCCAGCATGTGTGAGTCCCTGGGTTCAATTCCCAGGATTACAAAGAGAAAAAAAGTTGAATTTATAAGCATGAGCTGTGTGCCAAGCACTGCTATACATACACCACACACTTTACCTCATTCCACCTTCACACAACCATACATAAGATATGCACAATCATCATTATCAACCTCATTACACATATAAAGAAACTGAAACTCAGGAGGATAAGCAAACTGCCCGACATCACACAGTTTATAAAATACAGTTTTCTTTCCTTGGAAAAAGTTTGGCTTTTAGGTTATAGTTCAAACATTCAGTTTCTCTCCTCTTTTAACTGAAATATGCAACCTGTACACAAAGCTCAAATATGACAGTGTGCCCAGTATGCCTATTAACATATGAAGGAAACAGTGATAATTCAATGTGTGGTATTTGTTGAGAATGTTATTAAACTTTTTGAGAAAAGAGACCCTCAAAGTACTTGCTCATTGTCAAAACTGTGCTTCAGAATCTTTCACAACCCAAACTCTATGATCAGAAATGAGTAGGAAAACTAAATTCAGTTGCCACTCCTGGTTTACCAAAGAAAACATTAAGCACTAGTACTCTGTGGAGAAGAAAGCTCATAATCTACTGAGCAACATGGCCTTGGCCACAACACTAGATCATGGCAGAGATGGGAGAAGAAATCAGGCTTTCTGGCTCCTCATCAAATGCACCTTCTCCCATTTCACACTGTACCTGTAGAAGAAATTAAAACAGAACACCTGTGAACTGCTGACTCTTACACTTGCTTTCTGAATGAGAAGGCTTCTCCATAATATAAAGAATATGAGATTAACAAATGACTGTAGATTTCTTATTCTGTATCATTTATAATATATTCTATTTTCAAATAAACAATTTCCCAAGACAATATACCATTTGCAGAAGGGACACTTAAAAGTTCAGCCTATCCAGAACATTCTTCTCTTATGGAATATTATTTTTATACTTTTAAATATAAATATACAAACATGTAACAATCAGTGTGAAATTGATGTGTCAAACATATTTCTGGAAAAAGACCATGTAAAACTTTTGCTTGTCCATTCAGACATACCTTCAATAAATGATACCTTTCGGCACGAATTGCCAGGATTTCTTCTATTGAAGGAATATCATCTGGTAGTTCTGTCTCAGCGAGTTCAGTTCCAAAGGACTGTAACATCTGAGCCATTTCTTTCACTGTGAGGGCAAAATTTTCTATAGCCTGCAAAGAGCCAGTGATTCTTTTATGGAAACTCTGCCAACATAACAAAACCTGGACCAATAATTGCATTTATTTTTATTTGGGTATAACATCAAACATGTATGTTGGGAACTCTGGCATTACCCTTGGCAATCAACTCTAACTTTGCATCTAAGGCTCTAAGAAACTAAGAGCAAAGTTATGGTTCTTCTTGGATGTCTTTTTTCTAAATTTATGAACTTTTGTCTTAGACACTGATAAAAATGTTTTGGGGGGAGCTAAGAATATAGTTCAGTGATAGAGTACTTGTCTGGCATGCACAAGGCCCTGGGTTCAATCCCCAGCACCACCCCCAAAAAAATATTTCTTAAAGATGCCATGTACTGAATAATCCATTTTATGTCCTTAAAAATCACAGAGCTTTCCTTATTCTACAAACTCTGCAATGGGTAAAAGTGCCATTAGTTTACTGTTAAAGAGATGAGAACAGCAAAGTCACTTTATATTTGTTTATAACCATTTATCAATAGCATTAGCATTCCAAACAAGGTAATGGTCTTAGGAAAGAGGGGGGACAAGTTGTCACAATAATTCATTGCAAGTACTATTGAAGATCTGAAATGCCATATCAAAGGCTCTATTGCCCTAAAATGGCAAATAAGGTTGTGTTGTTAATTTGTTTTTGTTTTTGTTTTTTTACAAAATCCATTACTTACAGAGAGATGGACAAAATGTAGAGATTACATGAACCATCTATCTACCATGCAGCTCAAGGTATTTGCTCCTTTAGTTTGGTTTTGTAGGTTATTAAAGGATAGATATTATTATCTTGACAACACACCTTCATGTGGATGAATGAATTGTTGAATGAATTATTAAATGAACTGTTGGATAAAGAAGCAGGATGAGGAAAATGAAACCCTGATTTAATGAAACATCATTATTTTCTTCAGAAAAAAATCCCATTTCTCTGGAATTTGAAGTTAACACATTTAACATGGATTCCGACCTGATTCTGACCTGGGAAGCACATAGCCTTCACTTATTCGAAAATTTCTAAAACAGAAGGACTCTGCTACAAATGTAATTGCCTCAGAAAAATCCCTAGGATGATGAGATTAATATTACTTGACTTGTTGAGGGCTTGTCATATGCTATGCACTGAGCCAATCTTTTTGCATTAGGTATATTATTTAATCTCCCCAAGACTCCTATGAGGTAAGGTATTATTATTCCCATTTTATAGCTTGGAAAACTAGGATTAAGAGAGGTTGTGTATATTGTCCAAGGTCATACAGCTAAAAATCAGCAGTGACAGGATCTGAACCCAAAACCTTTGTTTCTTCAAGTTACTACATGACCACAGGCAGGGTTTGGCAGAGTAAGATTTCCTCGTTCTCTAGACCTCTCCTTCAACTGCCAACCCTAGTGACTCTTCATTTCTAGATATTGCCTATGGAAGAAAAATCAAGATGTTGAATTTTAAATGTATTTGAAAAGTAGGAGCCCCGAAAAAATCTGTTTTTCTCAAATAGGAAAAAATTCTAGAACTAGATTTAAAGACTAATATGAACTATAGGCTCTACGGTAAGGGCAAAAGCAACATACATTTCTGAAGATGATCCATTCACTGTGGCAGTACTGCAAGGTGCCGCCTAACTCAGGGGTTAACTGCTTGTCATCAATGTATGCCAGCAAATCACTAACTGAGCTCAGCATAACAACCTATATAAATAAGCAAAAAAGATACTGTTAACTGTCCTTCATGACATCCCTCCATTAAACTGTAAAATGAACTTTAGCATACATTTAGCAGAAATTCATCTTCTATAAATGGTTCTAACAGTTCTCTCTTGTACATGAACCCCACACGTTTGCATTACCTTATTTAGGTAATAAGTCTTTATTTACAAAACATTTCTCTACAGCAAAATTAACCTACATAAAAACCCAAACACCTAATTCTCTTTCATCTAAAAGTTTTCATTGTAAATGGCTCAGCTTGTGAAAGAATACTACACTCACAACAAAGTAAAAGGACTGTATATTGTAAGCTATAATTTATCAGGAGGGACTGATCTTTCCAAAAGTATCAAAATTTATGAACACTGTATTCCTAACAATAAAAACATCTTTTCAAAACAAAGAACGTGATACTCTGAACCAGCTCAGGATGTGAGTTAATGGGAGTTCAAATACATAAAACATACTCTTTTTTACTAAAAATAAAAGTTCCTGATTATGCACACACATACACACATATACACATAAACACATACATATAACATTTATTCTTCAAAGAAATTGGTTTTGTTATAAATTGCTTGATCTATTTCTTAACAGTAGAAGCAGAAGACTTGGGGCCATTTGAAATTTGCATTTTTCAAAGATTTTTTTTATTTTAAAAGCTTTATGTAAGCACATGTTAAAACAAACAGCATGGGACAAAATCTTCATGAGAATTAAAGGGATGAAACATTTAAATAATATATTCTTACTGGTAATTTGAGCATGAAATCCTCCTGACTAAATCGAAATCCAATGTCTGTGAAAGTTCGTTGAAGAAAACTGGTAGGACGTAAAACCAAAACTAAGTGCAAGTTCCCAGGGAAAGAAGCCTGTCGAAAGAAGGAACAAAAGAATGAGACAAAATTGGCAAAACCGAGCACTTGACTGAGCACATGTCAGAAAATATGTAATTGAAGGAATAAAGTTTAAAGTAATAAAAGTCAGTAAAAGGCCAATTCTTAAAAAAAATGGATGCTGATAAAAATCCAAAAACATGAAAATAGAAATAAAAATACTATAAGGTTATTAGGTCAGATCCTTAGTGTTCCTGGTATGGAATTTTCTCACAATAGATAAATAGGTCCCAAGTTTCAAAGTATTACACTCTAACACTTCATTTTTAAGTTAGTTTTGTTTTTATATTTTATTTTTTGTTTTTAACTGAAAGAAAATTCATACTCATTTATGGGGTACAGTATTATAATTTGATACATATATAAAATGTGTAATGATCAAATCACAGTAATTAGCAGTTCCATCTAATAGTATCATTTCTGTATGTTAGGAAGAATCAAACTACTTCCCCTTCTATAACTGTACTATGGTACTAATTATCCCACCTCCCTCTGACTTCCCTATTCCCCGCTCCTTTTCCTCCAATGACTTCTATACTACTCTCCTCCTATGTGATCAACTTTTTTCATTTCCAGAATTATCTTCATACAATACTCTATGAGAACATATAGTATTTATCTTTCTGTCCTTGGCTTACTTCACTTAATATAATATCCTCCAGTTTTATCTACACTGCCAAAAAAATGATAGGATTTCACGTTTTTTATGACTGAATCATATTCCACTGTGTATATATGCCACATTTTCTATATCCATTCATTCACTGATGGATACCTTAACTGATTCCACATTTTGGCTATTGTTGTTAGTGCTGTAATAAACATGGGCATACAGGTTATCTCTTTTTTTTTTTTTAAAGAGAGAGTGAGAGAGGAGAGAGAGAGAGAGAGAGAGAGAGAGAGAGAGAGAGAGAGAGAGAGAGAGAATTTTTAATATTTATTTTTTAGTTTTCAGCGGACACATCTTTGTATGTGGTGCTGAGGATTGAACCCGGGCTGCACGCATGCCAGGCGAGCGCGCTACCGCTTGAGCCACATCCCCAGCCCAGGTTATCTCTTTGATATAATCATTTCAAGTCATTTGGGTATATACCCAGAAGTGGGATTGCTGAGTCACATGGTAGTTCTGTTTTCAGTTTTTTGAGAAACTTTCATACTATTTTCTATAATGGCTGTTCTAACTTAATCAAACCAAGAGTGTATAAGAGTTCCCCTTTCTCCACACCTTTGCCACCATCTGTTATTATTGTCTTTTAGATAATAGTCATTCTAGCTAGAGTAAGACAATACCTTATTGTGGTTTTGAATGCATTTCCCTGATGATTAATTTTATTGAACATTTTTTTTCAATTTCTGTTGGCCATTTTTATATCTTCTTTTAAGACATGTCTATTCAGAGGAGTCATCAAGAATACAAGCAATAATAAATGCTAGAGAGGATGTAGAGAAAAAAGAACACTTACACTGTGAGAAGAACTGTAAATTAGTACAACCACTAATGGAAATCAGTAAAAAGATTTCTCAAAATACTAGGCATGGAACCACCATATGATCTAGCTATACCATTCCTTGGTGCATATCCCATCAAGAATTACAATCATTATTCTATAGCAATACATGCATACCCATGTTAATAGCAGCACAATTCAAAATAGCCAAACTATAGAAATAACATGGTTCACTCAACAGATCAATGGATAAAGAAAATATGGTATATGTACACAATGGAGCTTTATTCAGTCATAAGAAAAATGAAAGTATGTTGTTTTCAGGAAAATGAATGGAACATGAGAGCATCATGTTAAGAGAAATAAGCCAAACTCAGAAGATCAAGGATTGTATGTTTTCTTTCATATGTGGAAGCTAGAGAGGAAAAAGTAAAAGAAAGGGATATTAAAAAAAAAAAGAAAGGGATATTTTTACCCTACCTAGAATGACTATTATCTAATACACAATAATAAAAAAGACAATAATAATAATGATAATAATGACTTGAGGAAGGGAAACTCTTATACCCTGTTGATGGGGATTACATTAGAACAGCCATTATAGAAAACAGTATGAAAGTTTCTCAAAAAACTGATGAAAATCAAAGGAAAATCAATAGAGTCAGGGAAAGGGACCAGGGAGAGGGAGGAAAGGGAAAATACTAGGGAATGATATTGTGCCATTTATATTGTTATATTATTTGCACCTCTGAATATGTTACAACAAATCCCATCATTATGTACATAATACACCAACTAAAAATACAGAAGATGGGAATAATGGTGGAATGAGATAGACATTATTACCCTGTATACATGTATGATTACACTACCAGTGTGACTCTGCACCACATTCAGACAGAGGCAGGAGAAGTTGTACTCCATATGTGTACAATGTGTCAAAATACATTCTACTGTCATGTATAAATAATTAGAATAAATAAATAAATAAATAAATAAAATATGGAAAAAATAGGGAGAATTGACAATAATATGACCCAATATTAATAAATCACCTGGTATTAAATGCCTACTTTATGCCAAGTATTTGTCATAATTCCTCTTCACAATAATCCTATAAAGGAGTCTCCTCCTTTTACAAACAAAATGTGGCTCAGAGAATTTAAGTATAAATTACCACAGCTGGCGAAATCTTAAATTGTACCTAGGTCTATGCTCTTAATAGGTAAACTATCCCAAGTCTTGAAGAGATCACAGTCAAAAAAGCTAGAGGAAAGTGATGCTGGGAGATACAGAAAGATAGTGTTGGAAAGGCAGCCAAGAACCATATCAAGAAAGATCTTGGAGTCTTTCCTAGAAGTAAAGGGAATCTCTAAGATTCCCTTTACAAGCAACAGAACAACATAATCAGATTTGCAAATTTTTAAGTTTATCATGGTATTAGGAATAGAACCCAGGGCCATAGGCAAGTGCTCTACCAGTGATCTATATCCACAACCCCATCAGATTTGCATTTTAGGAAGATTACTTTGGCTTTAGGAAAGAAGTGGATTTGGAAAGGAATAGACACAGACAGATGCACTAGGAGGGTTAGTATAGTAAAATCTAAGCCAGGAATTGTGAACCAGAACAAAAATGGCAGAAATAAGGGTAGAATTTAGGAGGTATAGCCGGGCGTGGTAGTGCATGCCTGTAAACCCAGTGGCTGGGGATGCTGAGATAGGAGGATAGTGAGTTCAAAGTCAGCATCAGCAAAAATGAAGCCCTAAGCAACTCAGTGAGACCCTGCCTCTAAATAAAATACAAAATAGGGCCAGGGATGTGGCTCAGTGGTCAAGGGCCCCTGAATTCAATCCCCAGTACCAAAAAAAAAAAAAAAGAATTTAGGAGGTACAATCAGTAAGACATAAATATTGGATGCGTTAGATAAGGAGGGACTCAATCAAATCAATCTCAAAATCTGGGACTTCAGTAATGGTGTGAATGGTACCACCCTCACTGAGATGAAGAGAACACGAGAAGCAGGTTTGAAGGAGGGAAGCAAGATTCTGATTCCCCTTTGTAGGCATGTTGGGCTGGAAGGGTTGCAGGACATCCGGATGACCATCAGACAGCTGTTATATAGGAGTAAGGGGGTGGGGAGGGAAGTGTCTAAGCTGAGAGTGTAGAGTCAGGAGTCATCAGTCTCAAGAGGGAAGATTAAAGCATAACAAAGCAAAATCTATCAAAAATGTTTAAAATTCACTCATATTCCAGGCATGCTATAATAATAGCAATTGAACAAAGCTATAAAACAAAAGTTAAAAAGATATTGGGGGCACAAGAACTCTATGAGAACTCTCTGTACTTCCTGCTCAATTTTGTTGTGAACCAAAAAACTACTCTCCAAAGTAGTCTATTAAAAAAGAAAAGAGGGCTGGGGTTGAGCACTTGCCTAGTATGTGTCAGACACTGGGTCTGATTCTCAGCACCACATAAAAATAAATAAAATAAAGGTCCATCAACAACAACAAAAAATATTTTTTGATAGTGGTGCTGGGGATTGAACCCAGAGCCCTGTGCATGTGAGGCAAGAACTCTACCAACTGAGCTATATCCCCAGCCCCCCCCAAAAAAATATTTTTAAAAAAGGAAAATAATAATTTTCACTAAAGTATAAAACATACTCTTCCAGAAATGTTGTCTACAACTGGGGACTTTAAAAACTCAATTTGTGATGGTAATAAAAACCATAAACAATTAGGTAGCAATGAGAACTAGAGTGAGAGAAAGAGAACTGAATAGTCACAAGCACATAATAATTTACACAATAGTATAAATTCACACAAATTGGGATGACTGTTCAACCTACAATTCCCCTCTTCCTTTGAGAAACCACTCCTCCTTTTTAATTCTAAACATTGAGTCCAAATGAATACTGTTATTTTCCTCCATGACCCCACCCCTCCAACACACAATGATTAGTAGTGTGTTAGTATAAAAATCTGATATAAGCATAAGCATAGCCCTGTCCAAGATTTTTAAAAACAGCACCAAGGTAAGGAAACTTTAAAGACATCATTCCAGAGCTACTGGTAGCCATGAACCCTGCTGCTGGAAAGGTCTTATTTCAAATCAACATATATAGAAATATCAGATCATTCTTCAGTAAAACCTTCTTAGTATTTTTATTATACATTCTCTTTCCTTAACTCATTCAAAATCTTTTGTGATTTACTTGTCACAAAAAAGTCCACAAAATTTGCATTTTTAAAGAAAATACACCACCAAAGGATTAAAACCTCATTTATTGCCTGTATAATTAAATTGACAATGCTTTTTATTTTAGGATTATTTAAGAATTCTCTTCCTAAATATTCTTCTAACTAGATAGCTACTCTTAAATTTAATAGCTATTTGGGGGCAATAGCTATACAGGTACTAAATAATTGAGTGGCATACAATTTTGATTAACCAGTTAAAGTTTCTAGCCTTCCTGCCCATATATGAATAGACATACTTGATTTTTCAATCTCACTCCCATTAGTT